TTCATGGATATATATTTATGATGCACACAATTGTTTTAACAATTACAAAAAGAAGAAATCCCTCACAATAGCCTTGCAAGTCAATGTAGTTGAAAGGATATGAAACTGAGGCAATAAGAAAATAGAACAGTGTGTTGAATTTCTCCTGCTCTGTTCTTCTTGACTCCTACTTTGTATAAACATCAGTAGCATCTCTTGTCTCAGATTCTAACCTTTTAATCCCTGCTGTAGGTCATTTAATTCATTTCCAGGATTTAAGTGCCTCCTGAATTCATTTTGTTGGTAGTTTGAATTCTGTGCTACTAGAAGTATTTAAGATATTTCTAAGAATTATATTTTTTGTCATAACAATTTAGGAATTGCTTCCTCAAACTCTTAAAATCTTGAGACAAGAATCTATTTCCTCCTCTTCTATGTAGAAGAAAAACAGATTGAATTTGAAACAGGCTGTTTAGTACAGATCCCTGCATTTGATATTCCTTACTGGAGTGCAGGTGCAGTGTAGGTGCTGCTGATCTTAGTGACTGCTGTAGCTCAAGTCAGGACAGCCCCAAATGATGAACAAAGAAAAACAAGTAAATGGCCCAATCCCTTTCTAAGAGTTTTTGAGAAAGTTTATGAAAATCAACACACAAAATGTGTCCTAAACTGTTGATTAAAAAAAAAGGCAGATAAACATACCTGATGCAGGTGTTTTGTCCAAATTTGTAGAAATTGAGTACATCTGAGGCATTTCAACCAAAATATAAACTGAGGAACTTGTGGTGTAGGCCCTTTAGTACACTTGAGAATTACATGCAGTCTAACAGGTTTGCTTGACATTCTACAAACCTGTGGATTTCTGAATGCTGAGCTGTTGTCACTTTAGCATTGATAGTCTTAGTGGGTTTTAATTTTTAAAATGAACAGTGATGCTCCCCAATTATGTATATAACTCTTATTCAGAATTTTTTTTTTTCCCTCTTGTATGGATGTCTCTTCCATTCTGCCAAATTTTTAGAGTACACGAATAAAATATTGCACAATGGATAATTAGTTTTTGGGCTTGTGAAACAAACTATAAAATATAAACTGAAGCAAAGCAGCTTTTCCAGGATTGTGTTACAAAACACAACATTGTTTTTCTTGGTAAGTTTTATGCCAGCTGTATCGAGCTGCTTTCCAAAGGGGAAGTCACAGAAGGATTCAGAAAGAGTAAGTGAAGGGTTTAGATTAATGGCATTTTGTGGCTGTTTTCTAAGTTGGAGTGAAAAATCTGTAACTGTAGGTATCAAGGGCAAAGTTCCTAGATTTTCTTATTCCCTTTTAGGGAACTACTAAACTAGAATTTCTGGCAGCAGCTCAGTTCCTTCAGGATTTGTGGGAAGGGGTGGTATGGAAACAGCATTTAGTGATTAGAATATTTAGAAATTTTTTTTAAAAAAACATTCTTAGCTCGAAGGAAACTTGTGTTTGTTGACTCTAAAGGGTCATACAGAGATTTCTGAGCTCAAAGACTTGGACTCTTGACAAGGTGAGAAGAAGTGTTAGGAAATTGCCTCAGTAGTTCTTTCCCAGAGACTGGATAAACTCTGACATTTGGAAAATGGCATATTCTTCTAGTTAAAATTCAAAGAAGAAATTCCAATGGATTTATTTGCTCTTTCCTTCCCTACTGGCAAACTTACTTTCCTGCAATTCTTGAATTATACCAACACTTCTAGTAGTTCTTACCAACTAAGCCTCCAACCAATTATTTAGTTGTGCTTCTTTGTAATACAAGTTTTGTGTGAAGAAAGAAATCCACACAATCTCCCCTAGAGTAAGCTTGTTAGCTATTCCTGTCCCTCTACTCAGGATCAAGAAATGGTTGGTGAGGACCTTGATCAAGTCCTTGCTGCTGTGGCTGCATTTTTTTTTTGGAGAGCAGTTGAATAGTTTTTTTATTTGTGTGGGTTTTTTTCATTATTCCAGAAATGTTTCATTTTGCCTTTCTTTACAGGAAGAGGGGTTTTCAGAAAAGGTCACATCCTCCCCAGGTGATCTCAGGATGCTTCTGAGAACACTTGGAATTAATTGCATGGTACTAAATCTGCAAACAGGAGTCAAACCAGTGGCATCTTTGTTTATTCTCAGTGTTAGCGTAGAAACTAGAATTGAGGCCGGAACCGAAGCCAGGCAGAAGAATAAATGGCTTAATTTTTGCAGAATCTTTTTTACCTCGATGTTCTTGGCTGATGTTATGTTGCTACTTGACACTATGAACCATCAAGCCCTCTCTCCTCCCCTTTTCTCAGAAGCATTACTTGAGCGTCACATTTCATTTTTAGAGTGGAATCAGCATGATGCATTCAGTCTTGAGATGGTTTGATGTTAACATCTAAAAGCATCAAAAAGACCCTGGATTCTATTTCAATCTTGGTTGCTTGTTGAAAAATTGGAAGAGCTTAGAGCATTTTACCAGAATGCCTGTGAAAAATTTAGATTTGTCATCATCCATATTTCCTATCTCATGAGTTTATGCCATGCCTGTAAGTTTCAGGACTCTTAACTGTCCCTCACCAAAACTCCCTGACAGCATCTTATGTGAGCACCATAATTATTATCCCACGGGGGGCACCTTGCTTTGTGTCTGTTACCAAATATGCAGGTGAGTAGTCAAAGGTTGGTAGCCTATTCCTGCATGTCAGGGCCGAGGTCCATGCAGACCTCTGAGGGCAGTATTTCTAATAAGTCTCTTGTTTTGAGGCTGATTGTTCTACCCAAGTCACAATACCTACTTCCCTTTCCACCCTCTGGCACTCTGGACTAACAAGTCATCCTTGGTCGTGTACAGAATGTTGTTATTGGCGTGAAACATGCTGTATTGAACCATATTGAACTCTAATCAAAAGCAACTTGTGATTTTCTGCTTTGAGGCCTTCAAAGAGTAGCATGATTCTCAGGATTTTTGTGGTAGGCAATCATGCATAAAAGATGGAGAATTTCCACATTCTGCTAATGGCTGCTGAAATCTTAAGCAAGCATGTTTTGTGTTCTACTCTCCTCTTGTTAACAAGTTCAGTTGGTCCTAATAATGTGCATATTGAATAACTGGATGCATAAATGATCTTTATTAGTGCATAAACTTGTGCTGATATATCTGTATTGTGACTGAATATTGACCTGTATTAGTTTGTTGGATTGTTGATCCAAGGACTTGCATGGAACAGAATTAGCAGTGTTGTTTTCTCAGATTTTTTTGTGCTCTTCTCCAGTGGTTTGGTTTCTCCTCTTCATCTTTAGGCAATACTTTTGGAAGTCTTTACAAGTTTGGCCATTATGAGAATGTTTAATTTTTGTCGACATAAGCAGAGTGACAAGCTTTTCCGTTTTTATTCTTTTCTTTCTTTCTTTTTCTTCCTTTCTTTTCTCAAAAACTTGTAACTAACCTGGTGTTTCAAGAAAGGAAAACAAATATGATTAATGAGTTTTGCTACCTTAGAGATTTGTGATTGTGACAATAGGTCTGCATTATGATCTGCACTTAAAATGATCTAGTTTCCATTAGTTTTTCAGAGGTGGTTTTTCTGCCAGACAGACTTTGTATGGCTTTTGAGAATTTGCATGTGAAGTTGCAGTACTTTGGTGTCTGTCTATGCAGACTTGTTACTTCAAGGAAAAATTAAACAAAACCCCACAAACAAAGCACTTTGAAGACCAGGTAGTGCTGGTCCTTCAGTCTGTGGAGGAGCTGCTCTCAGTCACAGCACACTAAACCATAGGATCTAGGGATTTTATACAGGAATTCCACTGTGACTTAAGTCACAGCTGTTCTTTGAGTTGAAATAAATGTTTGCAGGAAGCATTCCATTACGTGTAGCATGGCCCTGATTAACGAGGGCAGAGTCTTCTAATATTTTTTTTAACAGGAAGCAGATGCTAATGGAAAGAATGGGAGATCTGGAGAAGTTGTGGTGTACCAAAGTGGACTTTAGGAAACTTGAGTAACATGTTTTCTGACAATGGAGTTTTCATGCATACTTTGAAACACTGCATTTTTCAAATATTAATCTGCATTCTGAAGCAACTATCTATTAACATTTGGGTTTGGGATTTTATTCTTTCTGTGAAAGTCTTCCTGAGTTGTTTCAACCTTTTATTCTGGCTTAATGTAGTTAATATGTTGGTCTTTATTTCTAGCATAGTGCAATGTTGCATTTGTGGAATAATTTTCCTTCTACATGTGTCATGTTACTGTAGGTGGCCACAGACTTCCATTAAAATACAAGTGGTAAATCCAACAGTGAATGAAATGACATTGTGAAATAGCTCACTTCAGAAGAAATGTGACCGTATTTGTAAGGCTTCAAAATTACTTACATTTAAATGACAATTAAGTGAAAACTTAACAGTAAATAATGTTGAACTGGAGGCAGACTATATTGAGGAAAATTTTGAGACTCGATTGAAAGCTTTTCCTACTAGAAATTGGATTTGAAACAGTGTTCAGGATGTCTGTCATGATTTGAGGCATCCATTTTAGATGTGTTTGGTTTCAAGGGTCACTTTTGAGTAGAAATAATAACTTTGGTTTGTAAATAAATCTACATTGCGTTCTTATTGTCTCTGGTTCTTCAGGCTTCCATCCCAAAGAGTGCTCTTGTTCCTGTGATACCTATTGCCAAATCAACAGGATCTCGGTTCCGAAACAGTGTGGAAGGACTCAATCAGGAGATCGAGATAATAATTAAGGAGACAGGAGACAAAGAGGAGCAGCTCGTTGTATGTATCTGCCTCCAGGATTGCTCTGTGTAATTCGTTTGCTTTTGTGTTGGAATTTTTAAGTCATATGTTTTATTTTGCGCAGTTTTTGAATTAAATTTGTCTGGGATTAATTTTGTTCACTTTAATAAGGTTAGTTGAAAAGTCTCTTGGAAAGCAAAAAGAAGGAAAGAATTCAAGTTTGCATCTGAACCTTTTCCTCTAAATAAGAAATTTCAGTAAAACAGGGGAAAAGACAAAGTCTGTTTCGAGAATTTTTGTAGTAACTCTTTTTTGCCTGTGCTGAGCTGTCCCCATCCCAGCTGAAGCATAACTTGTCTAGTTTTAAGGTTAATTTTATTTTGATGACTTTTAGAGGTAAATTTAGTAATAAAGCACCAGAAATAGAGGCCATGAGGATGATTAAGGGACTGGAACATCTCACGTTTGAGGAGAGACTGAGAGACCTAGCACTGTTCACCCCTGAGAAGAGAAAGCTCAGGGGAGTTTTATCAATAGGCATAAGTATCTGATGTGCAGGAATGACACAGGGCTCTGGTGTCTTCAGTAGTGCCCCATGATGGGGCAGTGGGCATCAATTTTAAAATAACTGGTTTTTTTTTTAACGTGTGAGAATGTACAAAACTGGAGGAGGTTGCCCAGAGAAGTTGCAGAGTCACTGTGGAGATACTCAAGACTTGACTGGACAGAGTCCTGGACAGACTGTTCTATCTGACTTGTCTGAGCAGAGATGTTGAACTATATAATCTCAAGAGGTCCCTTCTAGCTCAGCAATTTTGTGATGATGTGAAATCTCAAAAAATTTAGTTTCCTTAGTTTCTGAGCCTGGCTTATTTTAATCTCTGTTGGAGTTGTGTGTAATGAATAAAATTTTCTACCTCAAACGGTTTTATGAAACCAAAAAACCCCTTCAGCATTACTGGATGTAAAGAAGTTGCTAACCAGACAAGAGCAGCCATCTGATAGCTTCATTTTTAACAGCCTCAAGATATTCCAGATGGGCACCGAGCGCCACCTCCTTTGGTTCAGCGCAGCAGTAGCACTCGCAGCATTGATACCCAAACCCCTGGAGGAGCAGACAAGGGCAGTAACAACAGCAGCCGTTCCCAGTCAGTATCTCCAACCTCATTTCTTACCATCTGTAACGAAGGCAATGAAGAAAGTCCATGTTCTACAGATGATCTTCTTGGTGATTCCAGAGATAAAGGTACTGTGTAACTTTGAAAGTTCAACAATGCTGAACTGAAAACGTTTTCTATGTACATGACCGTGTATTAAGAGAAGGGATTTGTTCCCCACGTCCATGGAGAAATGGTAGAATATTTTTCTTTGTAAGTTACCTTTTTTCCAAATTGCTCCAAATAGTGTGTGTGCATACACATTGATTGGAGCTGGGTAGATGTGACTGAGAAATGTGTTTCCCGAACAGCTTTTTGTTTTTTAAGTAATAGATTCTTGAAGTATTTTAAGCAAGTTGAAGAATCAAGAGTGTACAGTGGCAGGTGGAACAGCACAATAGGCTAATCCTGTAGCTTGTGTCAACTATTGCTTTTATGATCTTGGACAACCTGGGCAACCTTCCAGCATTTCATACATGCTCCCATATAAGTTTGACTGTTCAGAGTTTTTAAATTACTCTTTTTTCTTTTATCAGAAATCTTCTGAGGTGTACTAGGAGAATTTTATAATTCAACATAAACCTGTTCTGTTTTATAAAGAATGTCTTCTGCCCATTTCTTTTGGACAGGTAGTGATGGCACAGATCCATAGATTTAAGTTTATGTTTATGAATTGAACATGTCCAGGAATGATCAGAGATGGCAGAAGAGCCTTAGAATGTTATAAGGAGAAATAGAAAGGAGGAAAGGATTTGAGACAAGAAAGCTTATTTGCAAACAAAGGCTTGAAGTCAAATGAAAATGTTTATTAATTTTGTAACATTGGTAATGAAGTGACTTTAAATTTGGGGAGCAGTTAAAGAGAGCTCTTGTGTTTTTAGTAGTGTGACACATTTAAGTAATGAGAAACTCTGTTCCTGCAGAGAATGGGAATAATTCTCCCTTGCCAAAATATGCTACCTCACCAAAACCCAACAACAGCTACATGTTCAAGCGTGAACCTCCTGAGGGCTGCGAGAAAGTGAAAGTCTTTGAGGAAAACTTGTAAGTTGATCTTTGCTACATAAGAAATAAAATCTAACAATCAGATTTATTTATTGCTTTGATCAGATCTAATTTACTCTTCCAGTTGCTAAGACCTTGTTAACAGCCTGATCTCTGTTTTGTGTGACTATATACTGGCATGTATGTGTGTAACTGATGGAATTGAGTGTTAAAATCTTGAGGGACTATTTTTTTTTTTTTTAAGCGGTATAATTTGACTGTCTCTTAACTGGCATATAGTGGGGGAGGAACTCAAGTCATCAGCTGGAGAGAGATATGTAATAATAAGCTGTAGTGCAGGTGCATCAGCTAATAAATGTCATAGCTTGACAGGCACATCCAGTAATCTCTGAAGACTGTATTCTTTTCAGCTAAATCAGTGTAGTTGTGCAACTTTTAGTGACACTTGGGGTCAAATTTACTCCTTTATTTGATGTTTTGGTTACTCTGAAAGTCAACTTTTTTCATTTGGGAATATTCTCAGGGATTGTCTTAATATTTTCTGAGGAGTTTTTATACCCTTATGTCACTTGTATACAAGAATCTTAACCTATAGTTTAAAATTTCTTTTTGTCACGTAAGGAGTGTAGACTATATTATACAGAGATATACTTCTGTAGAGAAGTTAAAAAGCATTAGGTACAGTGAAAGGAATAGACTGATGGAGTCGCACCCTTCCGAGCCCAAAAGAAGTTCATCAGGAGATGCTGAAGCCCTGCCCCTCCTGCCATCAGGCGGATGAAACAAACCAAGGAGGGGGGGGAATGGAAACAAGTCCCTGATTGAAGAGGTAAAAGAATCCCCTCTCAACCCCCATCACCTCCACAGTTGTCCTGAAAGAACAGCTATGAGGCTCTGGACCCAGACAGTCAGGCAGAGGACAGTCAAAAGGAAGATCCATCTGGAGGATCTCCTGCTTGCACCCCCTCTACTGGATGGATTGGAACCACAGCTATAAAGAAAAAAAGAAGAGTAGTTGTGTTAGGCGACTCCCTTCTGAAGGGAACTGAGAGCCCTACATGCCAACCAGACCCATCCCACAGGGAAGTGCTGCATACCCAGGTCTCAGGTAAGGGATATCTGTAGGAGAGTCGCTGAGCTCATTGAGCTTCTGATTACTACCCACTGCTAGTAGTCCAGATATCAATGAAAGAGGCACCAGGGTAATTAAAAAGGACTTCAATAAACCGGGCAGACTAGTTAATGGGACAGGAGCACAGGTGGTGTTCACCTGAGCTCCTGCAGTAGCAGGGATGGATGAGGAGAGGAGGAAGAAAACCCACCTTATCAATAGGTGGCTAAAGGATTGGTACTTCCAGAGTGATGAGGGAGCTGGTGGAAGAGTTGACCAAGCTTCTCTTTGTCATTTACCAACAGTCCTGGCTCACTGGGGAGGTCCCAGATGATTGGAAGTTGGCAAATATCATGCCAATCCACAAAAAAGTTTGCAAGGAGGATCCGAGAAATTACAGACCTGTCAGCCTGACCTCAGTGTCTGCCAAAGTCCATCCCAAGTACGATCACAGAGCACCTACAGGATGGAC